CTAGACTGGTATAGGCTAGTTTCTAAAAGACAGAGAATGATGAGTAGGAGGATAGGTTATTTTCATTCCAAACTTTCTGGTAGAACTTTTGAAGCAAACCAAAAATCTTGATAAGAAATGGAGACAACCCAGAGGAAACATCCTGGAAATGAATTGGCTGAAACATTTGATATAGAAATGTAGAAACCCATGATATTCCTCACAGTGGAAGAACACTAACATCAAAAACCGTTCTCCATTGAAAGTTTTCTCACGCATGGCATTGGTCACTCCCACAGGATGATATCTTCAAATATCGTTTGTCAGGGGAGAATAAGTTTATCCCATGTCTGAAAGTTTTATCTTGCTTTAAGATTCAATGTCTTGACACATGCACGGCAAGAGAAAAATGCTTGAATAGCGTTACCTTGTTAACAAGGTAATTCACCTAAACTGGTTGCCTTCAAAAAATTTAAGGACTGTAAGGCATTCAAGAAATTAGAAATTAGAAATGTCTCTCAGAAAGGGAGGATACTAAGGGCTCAATCCAACCCAAGCCTAAACACCCCCATGAACATGCTGTTCAGAAATTTTTAAAAAAAAATTGTATGATAGACATCCTTAATGTTCTAGGAACTCATGCAAGCTCAAACTAGTCACTAAGAACAGGGTGATACTACCAAACATATGATACATTGGTAGCAAATTACAATGGCCATATGCATTCATAGAAAAATAAGGGTTTGCACAAACAGAAGCTATTAGGTGCATCACAATTTAAACTATAATTAGCATTCTGGAACTCTTTATCAATCATGAAAAATCTAACTAGAATAGCAATATATATCACTGAAGCAACCGAAAAAGAAATTCCAAAGTAGGAAGACTCCACAAAAAAAAGTCTACTAATTCCACTAGACAAGGTTCTCAAGAGAAGATAAGGGAAAATTTCCAAAATCAAATACCGTGTTTCTACATCTTATGAAGCAGGGGGAAAATGATAGCTTACTTTTGCTTTCCAATGAGAAATTATACTCTAGTTCATGATAAAAAAATTCTATCCTAATGAGCAATAAGCTAAAAAAGGGTTGAGATGGTCAACCCTACAAGAACTCTTTTTTCTTTTTATTTTTTATCTATAGAACATCTAAAGCAAATAAGGACAAGTTCAGGAAATGTCTAAGATAAATCATAAAACTTGAGGAAGCAATCACAATAAGAGGGTGCTTGGGAGGAGTTATTTTTTGGAAGCTTTTAAGTTACGTTAGCTTTTAGTGGCTTTTGGATTTTATGATAAAAATGCTATAAAAATTGTTTGGGTAAAATAGTAATTTGTTGTTTGGTCAAATCTAGCTTATTTAGGTGAGCTTCTAAGCTAGTTTTTTTTTTTAAAAACTAGGGTATTCTAGCTTTTTAAATTGGGACTTATAAGCTTACTTATTAGGTATTTTAACAAACAGATTGAATGAAAAAGCCAACTTAAACCTAGTTTGACCAAAAATTAAAGTGAAGCTGGTTATCCACCATGCCAACCTCGTTAACTTCGTTGTCTAACATGTATTATGACATAGTCGAACCTATAATTTACCAAATCGTGATTCAATTGGGATTGGTTTTGACTAGAGCTTGAAAGTAAATTAGAAAGTCACAAGAAATTTTCAAGTCTTTAGAATCAGTGTCAATTTGACCGGGTATGGTTTGACCACAATTTCAAAATAATTCAGAAAGCAACAACACCACCACAACTAATCATATCATATCATATCATATCTACTCCTCTATACAAATGGGAGAACCCAAGATTCACTATTCATGCTACAGTAACATTTACTGTATCATTATAACTATAACAAACATGAAACTAGAAGTTGTGTTTTTTTGAAAAATGTTACTGTAGCAGCACGGGTATACTGTGACGGGTCGGGATACTGCAGCAATTAAAATTACTGTAGCGGTTAAACCCAGGTATTACTGTAGCAGAAAAAAAATATGCCGTTGCACGGTGTTCACGCTAGTTTAAACTGATCCCAAAACCTTCAGTGCAGTAAAGCAAGCAACAAATAAAAGTTGGGAATAATCAAGGTGTCACTGGACAACAAGCAGCCAACTTCTCACATGTACATGAACACACACGAATATAAAAATACACACAAATTCACAGTCTCCCTCCCTCAGGGTCAGGACTGACCTTCAATCCATACGCAGCATTTAAAGATTATAAAAGGCTGGTTTCCGCTACCTGAATTTTTCTCCTTCTAAACACCAAACATTTAAGATGCAACTAAGGAAGAACAAAGGAAAGTAGAACTTTCAAGTTTATGAGCTAATAACCACTAGGAGGATTATAATAAAAAGTGCTCAAAACAATAATGAATCAGGACACCAACGATTCAAGAGTCATTGCTAATTCTTGTGTTTTGAAACAGACTAGGATATCAAAGGCCTGTTTGTTTCACAAATTTTATGGAATAGGAATGGTATTTGGGCCTGACAGTGGTATTTTCGTAATTAAAGGATTCCAAATAAATCCTAATCTTGAGTTTGGTTCAAAAAAAATTTATGGATTTGCTAATCTATAAAGTGGCCAAAACAGTGTATATTTAAGGAATCCCAAATCCTCTCCGTTTGAGAGGAATTGGGCCAAAATTCTGACAACGCTCTGCTGGCTTCTTATTCCGATTCCTAATCTTCGAAACCCTAGTTTTGATTGAGCCATGGTTTCCCCGTTGTTCTTCTCCCGCCTCAACTCTCTCTTCTTCTTGCCTCTTCTTCGCTTCTCTTCTCCCGCTGCTCGTCGATTTTTTTGCGTGGTCGAGGCTGGTACTCGAGTCGACGGCGCGGGTGGCGGAATCGGTCCTCTCTCTCTCTCTGCTTCCCCTCTTATTTCATCTGAGATCACTCCTCTCTCTCTCTCTCAGCTTTTGGGTTCAGTTTGATATCTGCTACTTCTGTTCAGAGGAAAGCAATTTCTGGGTATTTAAGGTTGAATGGATTCAGGTAATGGACTGAAATTTTCTCACGATTTCCTCACTCAAAATCTGTTTTTTTTTTCATGCTGGTTTTCTTTTTTCTGCTTGATTTCATAGGATTTCGTTATGGGTCAGGAAATTTTAGGATCTTGATTAGAAATATTGAGCTTGTGTTGATGTGTATGGAAGAAATCATGAGTAGAATTGGTGGGAAGGGATTTGAATTATGATTAGGCTTTGTAATGTTTGAATTATATCATAGTTCAGTTGGGTGTGAAATTAGACCAATTTTAGACATTTTAGTGGCTGATTATGTCCACAAACTGAGTTTATTTGGATTGTGCTTGATTGTTTCTGTGTGAAGCTTGGACAAGTTTGAGAAATTACAATTTCTTTAAAAAAAAAGTTACAATCTTGGGCACATACTTATGTATATATTTTATTGGATACTTCTTAGATTACATTTTCTGTGAAAGCTATAAGGAAACCAGATAACTTATTGCTATGCTTCTGGGTATTTTGCTTGGAAATCTCCAAATCATGTTCTTATTTCTATGTGATTTGGTTAACTATGATTCATTGGGTTGTCTTACCATTTGTTACAGAGTGTAACTATGATTCATTGGGTTGTCTTACCATTTGGTTAACTGATTGCTATACTTTTACACTATTTTGTAATTGACTTTGTTAATTTTTGATCAAATCTCCGGCCAATGGTTAAAATACTTCAGTGCAAAGAGGTGTCTAAAATCAAATAAACTACACTTTCATTACTATTTTATTATCGACATCTTATTACTTTATGAAATGAGCACAATACTTGGTAGACGCAAACAAAGTGTAGCTTTACATATCTGCTGCACTTCTGAATGTACTTCCTATCAGAAGATTTGTTTATGTTTTTCTTTAGTATAGGATTGTATATTGCATTGCTGCAATCAACATAATATGCAGCTGATAAAAGATGCCCATATGAAGCTATTTATGAGTCCAAGAACTTATACAACTAAGCTATATTTGTGCATATGTTTATATGGGGTTGTTTTGTGTGAGTTTTTATTTCTGAAATAGAGTTCACATATAAATAATTAGTCCCCTTATGCCTTAGCGTATTACTTGTTATATGCTTCTCTTTTGTGTTGTCATTTTTTTGGTTGATGATTTTGTCATTTGGTTATTGATGTTTGGCATGATTTCGACACTTTTATTTATTGCGGGCATGAATATTTGTAAGGCACTTCAAAATATGCATTGGTATTTTTTTGGTTATCTTCTTTTCTAATGCTACTTCGATATATATACCAGCCTTTACTTTATTGATGGTTTCATCTCTCATAATTGTATGAACCTAACTAGTTCTCATAATTGTTTAGTTGATGATTTTTGTTCTCTTTTGTCAATTGAATATATGCAGGTTTTCTTTGGAGCCTTCATTAATGACTTCAATCAAGCACATCCTGCTAGCTATGCCTTTGGGTTTATTTCTCCAAATGAGCACGTGTTTGTTGTGGGTTATTGGTTGTCAGGTGGAGCCTGTGTAGCTCCTTACCTTTGGGTTTGTTGCTGTTTTGTTTTGAGCTTGTGTAGCTCCTTGGATTTGTTGCTGTTTTTTTTTAAGCTTGCGTAGCTCCTTGCCTTTGGGGTTATGGTTGTCAGGTGGAGCTTGTGGAGCTCATTGCCTTTGGGTTTGTTGCTGTTTTTTTTAGCATGCATAGCTCATCATGTTGTGGGGTTTTGGCTGTTATTTGGAGCTTGTGATTATCAGTGAGCTAGCTGTTGCTACAGTGTTGATCCCTAAAAAATATCATTATGAACCAAACTAGATATTAGGAATTTGAGGATTTCTATAAAAGTGAGATTCTATTTTTCCATTGGGTGAAACAAACATAGAATGCAAAAAAATGGGATTTCATAAAACTAAAACTTGTCTATAAAAATTTTATGGATTAGATTGGAATCCATAAATAAAATAGGATTCCTAATCCTATTTCTACCCTCTATTGAACCAAACAGACCCCAAGGCAACATAACTTGCTGGTTAGGAATCCTGCTAAAAAGCAACCAAAGCCATGGTAGGTTATGACACCAACAACTCAAGATATGGTCTTAAATTCTCAAAATTGACAAAGTTATCAAGAATTACATGCCGTGATTTACATGCAGAGTGATGAATAATTTGAGGCATGCGAGACCTTATCCAACAGGTTATGGGAATTTTAGTAAAGCGAACAAATTGCATGGGCTTTCCTAGAGATTAGATTAGATAACAACATTTGCACAAGTCCAGTCTTTCTTTTACAACCGAGCTTTGCTACAGGACCCAAAATATGGAACCAATATGGGGGACAAGTGAGGTGTCCCCCTCCTATTGGATAATGAGTTAGTCATCATTAATGATGGCTAACTCATTATCCAATAGGAGGGGGACAACTCACTTGTCCCCCATATTGGTCCTATATTTTGGATCCTTGAGGAATTTTTCTTTACAACCACTATAAACATGGACAGACGTCCGTGGAGCAAGTTACAGGCGAATGTCCACAAAATAATTGATCAGACTTTAGCTTTCGCAAGAAATTGAGGCTAGTAAACAATTGATGGATCAGTTTGCTTCAAAGAAGAACAATAATTGATGATCAGATGAAAGCCTCAGAGCAGAAAGTAAAAAATTCAACCTTGAACCCACCAGCCCCAAAATTAACGGACAACATCAAATGGGTTTTCTTTTTTTTTAATATATTGGGCATCTTAATGCTTATAGAATAATATAAATATTTTTCGCCAATTGACGAGAAAGAAATTGACAGGGGAAAGAGAGAGGAGAGAAGAAAATTAAATCACCAGAGCACCAGCTAAGATTGGTAGAAGGATCGTTGTCGGCCAAGAAAAGCAGGAACTTGGGCTCATCTTTGGAGCCCTCCGCCTTGAATTTCTCGAAGGCTGATTCGAAGTTGGCGACTGTTGCATCAAAAGTTTTCAGCGGCATTTTCTTTTCTTTTTTTATTCTCCCACCCTTTCTGAGAGAAAATATACGAGTACCCCCTTGATCCTTGGCATATGAGAATGGTTTGGGGAGGCGGTCTATATATATACAGAGGATGAGGCCGTCAAGATAGCCCTCCGTAATCGTGACCGTAGACGATTATCCTCATCTGTTGAAAGTTTTGGGCCTTTTTCTCCCCCGAAATCTCTATGTAGCTTTTACGTGTAATTGGCATTAACTTCATGTTTTAGTTATGCGTGCTGAACAAAGTAAATATTTAGGACCAATTTTGGAGATAGACCCTTCTAAATATTTGTTTATAGTTTTCGATCCAATCCTAACTTAGTTAGCATTTTCGATCTAGTTTAAACATAGAAAATTTCACAAGACTGGTAATCCCGTAAAGTTTTAATTAGCAATTTCAACATAATTTCATGAAACTAAGTCGGAATTGATAATTAAGCTAGTACTGAGTCGAAAGTTGTAAATAAATGTTTGCAAGGGTCAATTTTGAAAATTTGTCCAAATATTTATCCTGGTATCTCTATTTATGTGTTATCCTTTTGGAATAAATAAATGTGAGTTGCTTTCCATTCATGAGATTATTTTTACCTTGCTCATAAACGAGGATTATCTTCAAGTTTTACGGTTTTAATCTGACAATGCTAAATTTTATTTTAGATATCAAGGAGAAAAAGAAAACAAATACTAATCATTTCCTTACTAGCTATTGTATTAATTTATTTAAGTTCAAATAACATGCGTATCTTATACAGTTTATAATTAAGTTATAGTCATTAATACAAATAGTATATAAAAAAATCTAACGAAATTTTGGAAAGATTCTTTTATCTTCTACATAAAGTTATGAAATATCCCTAGTGACACTTTCAGTTTTTATTTATTTATTTTTGTTTATCTAAAGCCAACAGACACCTGTGCAAGGGATAAGGAAAATTGACCAGAGCAGCCACCATAGGATTTAGAGCATGGTTGACAACTTTGAATTATAATCCATAGTGGTTGGTAAATTTAATAGGTTATAATATATTTTTAATAGTGTAATTTTTGACAAATAGATAGATTACAATCCATTATTGTTATCAAAATGATCAAAGAAGACATGACTTATAATCCACTAAAAAGAACATGGCTTAGAATTTTGTAAAACAATGAGGCCAGACCACCCTAGTTTATTGTTTGGTGGAGTATAAATCAGAATAAGTCATTCGCCAAATATCTCAAAGTGATTTACAAACACCAAAAGTGGCTTACAAGCCACTTTGACCATTTGCATAATTCCGCCAATCTGGATTTGAGTAAGCATCAAAAAGTCATCACCACGTAATTCAAGATTAAGACAAAAAAAAAACAAAAAAAAAATCTGTTTATAGAGGTTTTGTTCGCACATAATAACCCCTTGCCCAAAGCCACAAGATCATAAGACCTCACAGAGAATTCCATCAAATTCTCAAACAATATACGAGCAAAAGCGCTCTCCAAGACGATACAATTTATAAGAAAATAACGTTGTCACTGTCATTGTATTCCAAGCCAAACGAGAAGGCAAAGAATTTATTGTGAGAATACAAAAAAGGTACAACACAGTGCAACCCTTCGCCATGACCAACGAGAGATCCCCAAGTTTCATTCAAGCTGAGGAGATTGCGGACTCAACTCACGTTAGGCTTTTTCCCTGTGGTGTAAGGATAGTACTCCTTACCATTATCAGTTCGTGTTGTCCTGCCACCAATGTCAAGTACGGCCGAAGTGAAAGCTAGAGCAGACCCAGCAGAGATTGCACCTGAAATGCTCTTTCCTGCAAGTTTGGAAACAGGCACAAGACTGTTAGGTACAGATCAAACGTGGACTGAAGGAGTGAAGTTTAAATACAACCTCAATTAATTTCCTCAACATTATTAATTTCCTTTGAAAGGCCATTTGATAAAACAGAAGTAAAAACTTAGCAGGAAAATCTAGGTAGTAAGGCGCCCAAGGCAACGTTCTTTAGACCCAACCATGGTGTCATTAAATGGCTGCAGATACTTTTGAGTCTTGTTATATCAACTCTTTCCTTGAATGAATGTATAGATAGAACACCAAGAGCAGATGCATTTTGAATATATCCACACTATACCTAAGGTTAGCTTCACAGAAGTAACTCACAAGTTATGAAGATTGCATGATGCAGTAACATAAAAAAACACCAATACATCTACATGAATGATCTGCACGATTGATTTTTTTTTTAAAGAAAAAGGTCAGTGCACTAACATGAAAAAGATAACATTTTGTCCACATCTATTCATGTCCTGTTCCTCCGACCATCCAGTTAGGGATTTTCACCCTGTATTCAGACAAATTCTTCTACTAATGAGTTTTCTAAAAGAGAATTTATCTTAATGCAGTGTTATAAGAGTTTTAAATCTACTATAGAATAATGCCATAATCATATCACAACAATCATACTATACGACAACCTACATAGTTAATAATCCAACACTACTATACTGAAGTCGTCCATTCATTTTCATAATGGGAGGGAAGACAACGAGGAAGAAGCCTAACACATCGAAATCTTTTTAGTTTGGGATCTGCCTTTGATGAAAAAAAAGCAAGATAGCAACAAGGCCATGACAGAAGAAAATCAGAAGAGAGTAACCATGTATAAACATTTAAATAACACTACAGGCACACTCTCCACCACACTCTCCACCACACCCCCTCTCCTGCTACAGTAAGGGGGGCCCACCTGGGATTTTTTAAAAAATCTCAGGTGGGCCCCCCTGTACTGTAGCAGGAGAGGGGGTGTGGTGGAGAGTGTGGTGGAGAGTGTGCCTGTAGTGCCACTCTAAACATTTGGCTCACATATGAAGAGAAGGATTAGTTAAAAAAACTAAGAGAATTGTAATTCCAAGGACCTCTCATGTGCAGTTCATTTCAAACTCTCTCTTTGGCGAAATCCAAAATCACTTTAAGTTTCGCTAAAAGAGATGTTGAATTTCAGAAAATTGATCTAAGAGTGTATGATCTCCAGTACCAACTTGCTCCTTTTACTAAGGCAAAGAGCCGTCTATACCCCTCTAGATGTAACCCTTCACAGGTGTAGAAATTTTACATTTACGTTGTCTTTGCTGAAGGAATAAAAGATCTATTAATTATCTGATGATATGAATGGTACGTGATATTAGTTTTCCTCATAGTAGTACACTTACACTGATCATAGTTTTCTGATAGAATCAAATATCATTCTGCAAGGAAACATCATTAACACCCCAAAACATAACTCCCAACTGTGAAAAACTGAGGAAAAATAAGACAAGATTCACATATGCAAATGACCGACAGATGGTTAGCTATGGGGAAAAAACAACAATAGGAGACGCATATCTGAATAAATAAATGGCTATATAGCACTTAAATACCTTATAGTTTTCCCTAATTTGCATTACTATACATTCCCTTGCTTTTTGTCAGCATTTGCATACCCAGAAGTTTCTAAAATAGATAAATTTCACAGCCCACTTCTCCCCCACCCCCCATCTTTCAAAGAAAAATATTTTTAAAAAAAACTTTGGGGCAGTTCACAAGAAACCCTCCTGCACTTTGTTTATCCCACAAAATGCCCAAAACTCTTAACACAAAAACCCCAAAACTCAAGGGTCTCAAATGACCCCCTAAACTTTCAACTTTTCTCAACATATCACCTAATGGAGCTAGTGTTCAATGTCAAATTACACAAATGCCCTCAAGAAAAAACCTTCTACATTTTGGTTAGTTACAAAAAATCCAACTTAAAAACAATTTTACTAGAAAAGAAAACACCAAACCACCCAAATTTCCGACTAAACCAAAATAAAAGAATATTAAATAACGAAATTTTTTTCATAAGGTACTTTGGACATTCATGGTCCATGTTTTTTTTTTCTTTTTCTTTTTCTTTTTTTTTTTTTTTTTGGGGGGGGGGGGTTTTTTTTGTTTTTTTTTTTTTTTTTTTTTTTTTTTTTTTTTTTTTTTTGGGGGGGGAGCGTTTATTGGGTTTCAAACTAACTGTTTAAGTTGGAGGGTTTCGTGGGAAACATTTCGGGGGAATAAGTGGAATAATATAGTCCCAGGGAGTTACATTGAAAACACCCTAAATTTTGGAGATTTTGTAGAGTTTATCCTCTAAAAAATGACGCTCTAGTACCTTCTATTTTGCAGATGTGAGAATATTCCTATGAATTCCCATGTGATGTATACTTTAGAACTTTTTCACCTTTAATGTCAGTCGAATTTTACTATTAAACCTACTCGAATTCTATTTTAAACTACCGCAATTGTATTTTAAAATAAAATTGGTATAGATCTAATAGTAAATTAAAAAACATTAAAGGTGAAAGGTCCTAAATTTAGCATGAGTATCAATCACGTGGGATATTCGGAAGAATGTTCTCACGTTTGCATAACAGAAAGTACTATCATGCCAATTTAAAAACCTCAGGATATATAAATATTGCCAATAATATGTGAAGGTAATAAATAAGTGTAAAGTATGTTAAACTAAAGGTATTTAAGTGCTAGTTAGCCTGAGTAATCTATTGGGTAGAATATGCAGGCACTTATCGTCAATAGACTTTGCTTTGGTCACTCCCTAAATTTTCTACAAATCAGCTTCAGTAGAATACTAGACGTGAGGAGAGACAGATAGGATGACATACAGGACGCATGAATGCCCAAAAGGTGATGGAAGGGGAATTCCTTCAAAATGTGGAATCCATGACAAGCACACAATCTAAAAAGTTAGTAGCACAGCTTCGGAATAGGAAAAAAAATCCCAGACAAATTCCGACAGAAAAACCTAATCTAAACAAAAGAGATACCACTCCATATGGGGACATTACCATATGAGCTCCTGTGCATACATCCTACATGAAATTGTAACCAAATGACCAAGATAGACCCGTGTCCCAAACTGCACCATTGATCCAACCATACAGCTAAACAATCTACAACAGTTACTCAGATACAGTTGCATCCAGCCCTGAAGCACGGATTCGCCCTCGGAGACCAGGAATGTGTGTCCGACTTGAATCGGATAAGGATTTATGCACGACATGTGCACGACACGTGTCTGACACAGATTAATCCATGTCCGACACGGGTCAACGGTCAATCTTTGTTAGACACGATCAATCCCACACGGGACACGGCTCGGATTCGCCGAACAAAAAAGAAAAAAAATAAACAGGTGAAAGACAAAACTCGAAACCCAAACCCAAACCCAAACTAAACCCTAATTTTTTTAACTCACCCGAGTCCCGACGTCGCCACAAAATCGGAATCGCCTCGTCTTCGTTGCTGCTGGGTTAGAGAATCGGAATCGTCTCGTCGATCTCGTCCTCGTCGAACTCCTCGTCGATCTCGTCCTTGTCCTCGTCCTCGTCAAAGTGAGTTTTCTTCTTCTTCTCTCTCTGAGTCTCTCTCTCGACCTCTTCGTCTCTCTTTCAGTCCCTCTCTCCCTTCGCCTCTCTCGATCTCTTAATTCACTCTTTGAAGAGGAACAAGATGACACCAGCAAGGGCAAAAGATCTTGTGTATATGCATAGCAATCTTCGTTTGCTTTCTCGGTCATCCTAAGAATATCAAGGAGAATTGAAGCTGTGGGATATTGGTGGAGATGCATTCGACTCATTTCAGGGTAACCGGAATTCTTGATGTCGCCACCTTGTCTCTTGATGAACCCACCATGAAGGTCGTATTGTTGGTTGATGATGAAGGCAATAAAGAAGTCATCAGACTAGCTTCCACTTCATCTTGATGTATTTTTTGTTTACAAACTTGTTATTTTGTGATAGATTCATATTTTAGATTGTTAGTTAAATTTTATAAAAAATTTTATATATAATGATAATTTTAAAAAAAATTCCTTGTCGTATCCTCATATCCTATTTTTTTGGATTTGTCGTATCCCGTATCTGTGTCCATTTCTTATCCGTGTATCGTATCTGTATCCGTACATCATAGGCATTCAGAACAACAATGTATGGCAAGAACCACTACATCAAGTATTTAAAAGATGACACAAAATTATATATGTCATTCAGTGACTATCTGATTAGGTTTGGGGGCATTTGGGTTCCCATCAGCTCAAAAGTAGTCCCCACATTAACTCAACAAGCAGGTCCACAAAAAATAGGAAAAAATGAAGTGAAAATGAAGTCAAGAAGCATTGTATAAAGTTAATCCAAATTTATTTTACTACTTTAAAATTTCTCTTGTTGTACAGTAAGGTTCTAATTATATCATTAGGTATAGTTGAAGCAAGCAATGATCGATGGAGATAAAAATGATTGCATATGTTCTGCCAAACAGCTAATTCAAATGGTCAAGCATTGAAGGTGAAAGATTTTATTGGTCAAATGAATGTAAACTCAATAAATGTAAGTATAATAGCCTAAGAAATGATAATTTTGATGAGATATTTAGGTAACAATAAAGCATATTTGTTAGGAAGAGAAATGATTAGTGTCATAATTTTCATAACCTTCACATGAAACCGGTGGTATGGAATATAAAGAGAAGAAAAGATTGCAAACATCAATTTTAATATCCGTGAGAATGTCACATGGGTCACATATGAATTGTATACCCATAACAAAAATTTGTCACATTTCCTACAAGTAAGGTACAAGTAAGAAGTAACTTTAATTGTCATCATATGGGTTTTGTGTAAAGAGTGAGTGGGGGATATAGGATATTTTTTCTTTTTTTTTCATCGTAGTCAATATAAGAAGATAAAGATGGTGGAGCAGCAATTTCGACATTTGAATTTCAAATGCATAAAGTTGTTGGTCTTATAATCACATTGATTTTCAAGCTATTGAAAAGAAAATAATACAATAGAAGGGCGTAAGATAAGAAAAAAAAATTAAGATCAAAACTTTTAAAGAACATTAAACCATAACATTCAATATGTCTATAGGACGCCTCATGTGAGCTATGTTCATCAAGAGCGAAAGTTATTAACATATAACAATCCTATAACTAGGCATATAATTTCTACACCCTTGCCAAGATTCCTCCTATTCATACCATCTCTTATGATATGACATTATTTCACCATCTCATAAATTAAATTTATGACTGAAAGAACTTCAATGGCTTTTGTGCTTCTGGATTCGAACGTTAAGACTACCTGATCCACAATCCTTACCTTAAACTTTTACCTAATAACAGTTTAGCTACTTTGCGTTTAACTGATAAAATAAATTATTGTGTTAGTTTCCATAATTAGCCACTAAGTATTTGTGCACAAAAACTCAGACTATGATGAATCTACAGCCTTGAATTGGCATCTTCTATTTCATCTTGCATGTGGTTTAGCTATGTGATAGCAAATTTCTCTTTAAGATCCGGTGCTACCTACATTGGATAGGTACGGTACGGGTACGAGACACGACTATATTAACATTTACATATACATATCTATATTATATATTGGAATTAATAATTTACATTAGATCAATATGAGTTTCATTCACCCGTTATGAGAATTAAAAAACCTATAACATTTTATGTTTCTTTTAATATGTGGATTATAAATTAAAAAATAGCTAGTTTTTGAACTCGACATCCAAACAACCCTTTTAAAATCATAGTTCGGAACCTGACCTATGTCCAACAAATTTCAAGAAGTGGATGTGAAAAATAGGATATATGTATAAAATGTACAACAAGTGCTTTAAATTAAAATATGTAATGTATAATTGATTAGATGCCCGAATAAATGTATACGTATATACAAGGAGTGTCCAAGGTCTATGGTTATGGTTACAGGTACGTGTCAAGTATAGGTACGACACTCATATAGAAGTACCAGGTAACACAGGGTGTTGCTTAAGGGCTCAGCCTAATAGTTTTGTTATTTTCTTTTTGAAATACATGTACCATAGCCGTATCACTATTTCGAAACCTAGCTTTTCGTAAAGAAAGCATACGAATAACTATATCATCCAGCAATAAAGTCTCAATAAAGAGTTGGTGTTGTAGAAATGCCTAACCTAAGAAGTACAAACTAACAAAAAGTTCCAAACTCAATCCAAAAACTAAGAGTTTTATTTGTAATATGCAGGTGGCACTCATGCATTGAAGTTACAAGCCACAAAATACAGATACCGACACCAGAAAGCCACCTTACAACCAAATAAGTCAATATTCTACAGCCCAAAGTAGCAAAATACAAAATACAAATACAAAGAAGAGCATACACAAACCATGGTACATGCATAAACAACGAGCAAACTAACATTAATGCTGAGTTTAGCAATACTTAGGAAAGGTCACAGGGCATTTAGGGAAATGTTCAAAGACCTTCAACTTAAACAATGCAAATAGTTTTAATTTATTACATCAAGTTGGTTCCAGATACAGATTCGGGTGAACATGGGTTACATTTCTATTTTCAAATTGAATCAGGTTTCCAATCTAGCAAGTAAAAATTGAACTAAGATCATAATTCGAACTCGGATCAAGATTAAGAAAAAAGGACATGTTTGGATGTTATAGATTTGTAGATGTCAAAAACGATATGTCAAGAATAGGAATCCAGAGTTCAAAACTCATGACTACTTGCTCATAAAGCATTACACCTGAATATTTTGTTCTCTTGCAACCATCATAATACGAGTAATGGGCCAATGGCATGAGATGATGAGATGAGAACCCAACTTATATTTTCTCATTTAGAACCTTCTCCCGTTTAAAGTGCTCTTCTGACAAGACAACTTAAGTGACTTGAGTAGCATGTCTGTATCCTCCCATTTAGGGTTTAATCTTGGATTCAAACTTCTATTCTCGCTATCCCTCTGTTTCTAATCATTCTTGACCAGTTTTACAGTGCAAGTTGTGAGCATGAGAGGGGAACATGGTGCGTGCTAAAGTAGTGAAATGTGGGATGCGTTGAACGTGAGTTTTTTGGATTTCTCGCCCCTAAATAAGCTTTGAAGTACTATAAGTTGTGAGGGTATTTTTTGGGATTTTAGAAGCGTGACTCACATAGGGCAAAACACTAAAAGTTTGAAACCAAAAAGCTACTCTTTTAAAATATATTAATAATATTTTGAAATATGGATATGAATTTGAAATTTTTAAAATATTCTTGCTCCATATCTCTATGCTAATCATTATGATATTGTCAAATATGGATGACTCTGAAAGATTTACAAAATCTTCATCAATATTAACAGATGTGACTTCGTATGCATGCCTCAACAAATGCATAGTAGCATAGTCATCTAGAGTCTCGCATCGATTGAAGGACACTTTGCAATGTTGAGGTGCACCCGACCGACCACAAAAATTAGTAAGTTATTGTATACCAAGTTCATTGTCAACCCTTCTGCTAAAAAAATTAGGCTCTCTTCTCACGGAGGATTAGTGCTGGTCTTGGGTAATGTGTCTTCAAGACGCTCGTTGTTGAAGATTCTCCATCAAGCAGCAATGATAATCACTGTGAAGAGATTCCGATAGTGATACTCTTCAAACGATAATCACTGTGAAGAGATTTTGGCAAGGTATGGATTTTTTAATCAATTTCCATCTTCTAAAACTTTTTTTTTTGGTTCATAACTTCTTGTCCTATATCACCAAGTTTGTTTGTTTTTTTCTGTTGCCTGAAGTGGGAAGTTAATTGGGTCTATCTTCATTTAAGTTGTTTATTTTCACTTAAATTATTGTTTCTATATTCTTTAGCTTATGAAAAGCTTGTTTTCCTATGTTAAGAATGTTTTAGATGCACGTGGATTTTTGTTACGGGAAATTGTTATTTTATTTTGAAATTGAACTTCTCTTAATATTTTTTGGAAGATTAAATTTGTTTGTTAGAATTTTAGTTGCAAGTTCTTTTCTTCAAGGTTATTATTTCACAAAACTTTGATTCTGGTTAAAAAATATATACACTATTGGATTTAATTGTGTTTAAGAAAGTTTCTGTAAAGGGGAAGTGCTTTGCTTGAATGAGGCAGGCACATGCATAGCCTTATGCATGGTGCAGGTAAAGCACTTTGTCACTCCATTGCACCTTGTGCATTGATAACACCGATCCTCATGTTCAAATTTGGTGTATGAAAGTGTGTCCAAAAATAAACTTTTTACAGCATTATCCCTTAACGTTGATAACAAAGATTCTCATGTACATTTTTGTTGTGTGCCTATGTCCAAAAACAAATATGTTAGCATCATCTCTTATGAAAATCCTTACCTCTGATGCCTCTTGAAGTTAGTTCCATTGAATAACCTAGGCATTTCGTGCTAATGTTGAGCTTGAAGAAAGCATAACTGAACTATAACGTCTAAGACCGTGGTTGCAGTGCCGCCTCTATGCAAATCCTCGGTTACCAAGCTGACCTCGTCCGCTCAGAAGGAAACAACCTCAGACTATACTTATTAGGGTTATTTGCCAGGTCAACAGTTGTAAGTGTCAATTGGTTCATTGTGGGTGCAGCGGGATGCAAAGAAAATGCAGAACTGAAAGCATATATCCGTAATAGGAGGACGCCAAAGAACATGAATGTGTATATATACATGGCCATTTTGTGCGTGTTTGCGTGGATAATATAGGCTCCATACAAAATCAAAAAAGAAAAAAAAAACAAGCAACACTACTCTTTAATTAGTTTTTCCACTTCTCCCTTTTCTCTACAGTTTATTTTCTATGAATGAGGCCCATTTATCTCTCACTCATAGAAAGGGCTTATCAGTATGTCAAAAGTAATTGATTGAGATGAACAGTGAGATTACCATGGAAATGATAATCGGTTAGCATTCAGATTTGTGCCAACATCTTTAAATACCCAAAGCTAGTAGAAGATATCGCAACACAACGGTACCCATTTACAATGACAAGCCAACAGTGTAAGCATTTGGAAAGAATTCATTTCCCCAATTAGGATTTGTTGCCAATGTCATTTCCCAAATTATGAACAACTATCAACTTGCAAAAATCACTACCATAAACAATGTTAACAGTCACTAAAACGTGAAAATGAATGAACCAATATGACATCTTGCATTAATACTAAAATTTCAAAATGGAAGAAAGAAACATGACCTTTTAAGCCGTAAATTGATGCTCCAGCAGCAAAACCACCCACTGCACCATTGATAAAGTCCCTCTTCATCCTCTGCTTTTGCACCAATTGCTCCACACCAACATAGATTCCTCCAACAGCGGCAAAGGTGAGACCGTAGTTTCCGCACATCTTCAAGGTCCTTATCAGCCCTGGAAGTGCAACATTTCTCTCTACACGAGGCACATCATACCATGTTGCGACAATTGTACCCCAAATTGTACCAACGGCTAAACCCATGGTTGCTCCTTTAATTGTTTTCATGGCCGGAGCATCTTCATCCTCCAAATATTTAAGGTCTGTCTCGTCCATGATTCCTCTCTAAAAGCGGGATACTAACGCCTGGTCAGCTGGTACAGATAAAGAAAAGTTAACTTCAGAATGAGGAAACTGAACTGTGAAAAGAAGATAAACTAGTGTAAGCTAGAGCATCAAGCACTCTTAAAAGAATATATATGTAGAAATAAGAGTTAATGCAATCAAGGGAATTCGAAAACGGTAAAGACAATGCCCACGAGTAGGAATGACAAGAAATGAAGTCAAAGGAAAGGACTCTGCACGCTCTAAGCCTCAGCAACGAATTCATCTTTTCTTCTCTTTGTCACGTACCCTTTCCTACTTAATTAGACAAACCAAAATTAGGGTTTTCACCAGAAAGAGGTCACTTTCCAGATAACTATCGAAATTTCCACAGATTTAGTTGGGTAGCAATGCAACAGTACATATCCAAGGAACTGGTAACTTTAGAAGGAGAAAAAAAAAACCCTAAATCCCGAAACGCACAGTTACTAAAATCTAAACTTTAGAAACAATAAATACGTGCAAGAATCAGAACTGGTTACTTTCAGGTCAATGACGCAAGAGAATCACATAACGATGTCAAATCAAGGAAAGAAAACTAGCGATAGAACCAATTGGGGCGTTTTACTTCACAAATTACAATTTTAATTGATGAGATAATGCCGCGAAACAATCGAATTAAATCCTCGAATGAACGAATATTTTAATCCAAACGCAGGGTAAGTAAGGTACAACAAAAATGAGAGAAAAACTGGAGAAGAAATGGACGCTTACTATGACAGAGGGGAATTTGCCCTTTCCGCCGCCCGACGAGAGACTGCAAGCTCTAGAGCCGGTGGACGCTCAAATTACCAGACGGCCCTTGACTATGTTGGCAGTGTGGGCGACATTGGGCTCGGCCGGTGGGGGTACAAAGGGAAATAAAGAAGAGAGGTGCTGAATTACTGGATTTAATTGAACAGCAGCATTTATGCGACCCATGTGAATTATGTCTCAAGCCCAACCATACCACCAAGCCCACGAACTGCTTGGAATTTGAGAGAAAAAGGGCAAGGCGAAGGCCCAGAACACCCAGTACTATTAACTGATACAGCAGAAATACATAAAAGAGAGAGGCATACGCAATCCACAATCTAGAGCAGAACCATCTTGTGATGCTTTTCTTACACCCCAAAATGGAGTTCGATTCCTCAGGTTCTAAGCGAATCGTTTGAAAAAAATAGAGGGGCAAATGGGAATTTGATCTCTTACTCTGTGGCTCAAAACTATCTGTCGCATGCGGATGATTCTGATGGAATACATAGTGCCCAAAAGAGAGGACGTTGACATGTTTCTACTTAAAATATTTGCACTTATTACCCTATCTCCTCTTCACTAGTAGCAAAATAAAGATAGCAGACGGATCAAATTAGACGGAAAAATAACGAAAATTTTTCCGTCTAGTTTGATCCGTCTAGGTTGCCACAACCTAGACGGAAAATTCTACCTAGGTAGGCTACCTAGACGGCTTTTTAAAAAAATAATAAATAATAATGTGGGCACCACCATCCTAGATGAAAATTTCTATCTTAGGATGGTGGGGCCCACGCAAAAAACCATTGCTCTGCCTAACCACTCAACTCTCACTCCATCCAAAATTTCACCACCGAACCAAATATCGCCCGCACGCCACTATCCCTAGCTCGAACACAGCCCGCACCACTGCATGCTGCCGCCCGCACGTAGCTCGTCCGCCTTCAAAGAGCGACCACTACCCGCACGCCTGCAGTCGATCGCCGCCCACACACCGCTCGCCCGCCTTAGAACTGCGACCACCTCCCACACACCCACGTTTGACCGCTGCCCGATCACCACCAACACACCCGTTGTGCCGTCCATGGTCAACCCTCTTCTCTCTAGCTTAAAGGTGTGTTTTTCATGAAAATTTTCTATTTTTTTAATTTTTATTGTTTATTGCTTAATTTTGTTTAGATGCCCTAAATTATAACCCAAAATGAAAAAATTCGAATCTTGAAACCCTAATTAAAAAAATTCAGCTATTAACCCTAACTCAACTACATTTTGCCCTATTTAAACAATACTTACATTCATAAACCTAATTGAATACTTTTTGAACTATCAACCCTAACCCGAATCATGATAATTGATTTACACTAAGTTTTACGCGTACTATAAAAATGTGTGATTGTATAAGTTTGTGATTTAAAAATGTGTGAAATAAAAAATTTTCAAAAAATAGAGTGATATATAACGCAATATGTTATAATAATGTATTATATATCCAATTTAGGTGAATAAAAAGATAACGTTATTCCTAGACACCCATTTAATAATTACATCATATTCTTTGGATTTATAATATAAGATAGATGACTCATATTTGGGTAAGAGATTAAGTTTTCTAACCGAAATGGTCGCTTACTTTATATTGTAAAAAGAAAGAATTGGTACTGAAATTCATGATTATTGGATCTATCCTTCTCGGACGGTTTAGGAATATATTAGTGCATACATCTAACTTTGTATACTTTGTATGTTTTTATTTCTTAAGAATTTCAGCAGCACGTACTCGTTGATCTTCGTGTATAAGAAGCATATGTTGTTCTGCGTTTCGGTCTATTGCCAATAAGCATGATAACATCTGCACGGTGTACAGGGAGAACAGCAGGTAGGTGCTACCAAAATTTTTAAGAAATAAAAATATACAAAGTATACGAAGTTGGATGTAAGCACTACTATATTCTTAATGGGATAGAAGTCTTCCTATGATAGCCGCTAGAGTGTTCTAATTAGTCTCTATATACGTTTCAATTTTCCCTTAGAAGGGAAAATTATTTTCATTGTTAAATGATATATGTATGTAACTATGATGTGTGTTATATGTATATTGTCATGAAGAGACATAAATTTAATAGTAGTAGTGAGATTAATTGTAGTTAATAATTATTTATAATCTACAGATGAGGATATTTCTTGACAAATCATGGATAGATATTCCCTGCTATAGGTGTAGGAATATGAAGTTGCAGAATAGAAGTGGCAGTGCGAAGGCCCAAAACACCCAATACTATTAACTGATATAGCAGAAATACAGAAAAGAGAGAGGCATATGCAATCCACAATCTAGAGCAAAACCATCTTCTGATGTTTTTCTTACACCACAAAATGGAGTTCGATTCCTCAGGTTCTAAGCCTATCGTTTGAAAAAAAAATAGAGGGGCAAATGGGAATTTGATCTCTTACTGTGTGGCTCAAAACTATCTGTCGCATGCGGATGATTCTGATGGAATACATAGTGCCCAAAAGAGAGGACGTGACATGTTTCTACTTAAAATATTTGCACTTATTACCCTATCTCCTCTTCACTAGTAGCAAAATAAAGATCGCAGACGGATCAAATTAGACGGAAAAATAACGAAAATTTTTCCGTCTAGTTTGATCCGTCTAGGTTGCCACAACCTAGACGGAAAATTCTACCAAGGTAGGCTACCTAGACGGCTTTTTAAAAAAATAATAAATAATAATGTGGGCATCACCATCCTAGATGAAAATTTCTATCTTAGGATGGTGGGGCCTACCCAAAAAAACCCTTGCATTGCCTAAAACACCCAATGCCACCCCACTGCCACTCCAACCAAAATTTCACCACCGAACCAAATATCACCCGCATGTCATTATCCCTAGTTTGAACGCAGCCCGCACCACTGCACGTCGCCGCCCATATGCCGCTCGCCCGCCTTCAAAGTACAACCACTGCCTGCACGCCTGCAGTCGATCACCGCCCACACACCGCTCGCCCGCCTTCGAACTACGACCACCGCCCACACACCCACGTTCGACTGCTACCCGCACACCTCCAGCACATTCGGAGTACCAAACTTTCATCGACTACCAGTTTTTTTGTAAAAGGTTTCTTAAAACCTTGTATTGTAATGTCTCCAATTTATGCAGATGTGACAATTGGTCTTGTACATTGTTTTAAAAAGCCTCCGCCTAGGCGAACGCTTAGGCCTAGGAGGTACCCAGACCATCTAACTAGCGCGTAGGCGGTGCCTAGATCGCCCACTTAGATTTTGGGAGTGTTTAAGGAAACATTATTTGCTTATGTGGACTACACCCTTTAGGCATTGATCGTGTTTTCTGTGTTGCAGCCTTCACATCCTCCAACCTCCTTCTAACTCCTTTAACCTCCAAATATGAACACCTCCACTAGATCTTTCAATCTTCAGCAAAACCTCCCGGACTATCACTTAAATGAAAGTATTCTGCCTAGACACCAGTCCAACACCTAAGATTTCTATAACATTGACATTTACCATTAATTATTGTGATTAAAAAATAAAAAAAAACCTCCTAAGTTCTAGGCGTCAGGTCCAACGCCTAAATCTCCTAGCGCTTACTATAACATTGTTAATTATTATTTTGGCTATTTAGTATTTAAGAGTGCATGGTTTATTGTGAATCTAAGATTGCTACTTTTTTGGCAAATTTATATGAAGTTAATACATATTTTTATCAATTATTATAATTAAATAATTTAAAAAATAGTCGAACGGCTAGGCACCGCCTAGGCTTCTAAGCGTTAGGCGCTGGCTCAAACACCTAGTCCACTTAGCGCCTTCTGTAACATTGGTCTTGTATGCATGTTCTGATCAAACTCTTCATCATTCACTCTTTTTATTTATATTTTTTATTGGTCTCTTAAAATTAAAAGTTCTTTTTGATTAGCATGTTTATGAGTCAGCTAAAATTTGAAGATTAGGACCATCAGGTGGTGGCACTTTGGTGTCTTTCAAAGTTTTGAAGTGTTTGTGATTGTTGGAGGTCAAAAGTTGTGTTTGTCATTATTGTATCTTATGATTGTCATATTGGCTTATCTGATATGCAGCGTTTAGCGTTGAACTCTTCTTGATTACCTCATTGATGGGCCCCTTAATTTTTGTTGTTGCTGGTGCATCATCATCTGACTTGTACACTTTATGATGGCTACAGATCAATCCACTCACCGCCTTTTGCTACTGTAGCTGCTGAAGAGATTTCAGTCTCTCAACCTGCAGAAGTGCTGAACTTGGGTAGGCTACTAGTTTCTTGTATCATGATTTTGGTTATGCACATTGTGACTGTTATGTATTTGCTATCACTTCTCTTATTCAAAACCCTCTATTTAAGCCTATGAACTATTACTTTGTGAAGCTACAAATTATTTAATGTGTAGTCTTGGTGGTATGACCATTGTGTTGGATATGAATTTGTGTTGGCCATGAAATCTGAAATATGTTTTCGGGATTGATTAAGGTCTTTAGGTACTAATATAATTGCATATAAAATATCAACTGAGGTTACTATAGTACGTCTTATAGCTCTCCCTCAAGCTGGAGCTTACTGGATGTGTATGCTCAACTTTCTCATGACCAAAGCAAATCAATCTCCATATATTTGGTTTGGTTATAAACAACAGGACTAATGCAATAGATGCCTGCTCAATTGTCACGTTATAGTCTCATAAGAAGGAATGATGCAAAACCAAGTTCACCAATAAATATTGTGCCCACATCACCATCTCATTAGTGGTATTGGCTGTTGCTCAGTATTCTGACTGCACTTAATTTATGAACTACATTCTACTTCTTCTCCAAACTATCAAGTTTCTTCCTAAAGATAAACCAGTATCCCATGGTGGATATGTATGTGATAGCATCAGTGGACCTCACTATGTGTAATGTCCACGAACATAGTGTGATATATTCAGCATGCAAGCATTCTTTAGACATTGAAATTTGAATTTCAGTACACCAATTGGCAATTCAATGATGAGATATAACTAAACAATAAAACTTACTAGATAAGACTTATCTGGTTGAGTACTCGGCAAATAATTCAGTTTATCCACAAGCCTGTAATATTTCCTATGTAAAGGATCTCCTTGGTTTGGCAGTAGTTTTATGTTTGAATATATAGGAGTGTCCTCTAACTTGGAATAGAATGGCGCAACCATAGTTTTCAGAATTGTTTTGTGATTAATATGGTTATATGCTAGGAAAATTTTCTTTCTATTCTCCTTATAAATAGTTCAGAACAAAAACCTGATGGTGATTATATTTAGTTCAGGGTAAATGGAAAGCATCTTCCAGTTGGAACTCAATAGTTGATCCCTTAAATGGATATCCGTTCATCAACGTTGCAGAAGTTCAGGAAGCAGAAATAAAGGTACATGACATGCAGCAAATGGTTCCTTAGCTATATAAGTTAACTCTATGAAAAGATTAAAATTAATTTTCAGTACTTTTTTTCCGTTTTATGTGGTCCTTGAAAAATAAGTTGGCACTTCAAACTATGATCTGTGTTCATTTTTCTTTGTTTTGGGGAATTCTAACTATTATCATACTTATCTGCAGCCATTTGTAGAGAGCTTGTCTAGCTGTCCAAAACATGGGCTGCATAACCCACTCAGATCCCCAGAAAGGTTTGTTCTCTTTATTCTTGTCAAAACCATGCATATGAGACTTTCAAGGATAAATATGTACACTGCTACAAAATTTTTAGGCATGTTTCATTGAACATTACATATGCGTGCATATTCACTGGCACAAGGGGAGAATTATTATATTATTGATTGCACAATCTCTATAGGTCATCAAATTTAAAATTGATGGTAAAGTCTTGTTCTCACAGTCAAAACAAAAGTTTTAGACCGAATAAAAAATGTTTGAAATTGGAAGTGTCCCCTTGGAAACAGAGGTTACACATTGAATATTTTCTACTAACGATATTTGCTTATAGTTAATATTTGTTCTCAAACCAACTGAAACATGTTCATATTTTCTTTTAGATGATAACTAGTAAGCTTATATCCTTAGACTTACATGGTTTATCACAGTCTTGCAACGACCATTAATTCAATACGGAAGTTCTATCAATTTTCCCAAGTTTTTATCCTTCCTTTCCGTATATTTATGTATGCAAGCATAAAGTAATTGAGAATGTGCATGATGTGCATTCGTTTCAGATCTTCATATTTGAACCTGTGAGTTTGTGTGAGTCTGTGACATCCTATTAGCATAAATATAAGAAATCTTGAGATGCACATTTTTAGCTGTTAATGGAAAATGAATGGTTACCATGCTAACGAGAACCATCATCTAGAGCTTAAAGACGGAGAACCAAAAAGACCTATCTTGATTGGGGAGAAAAGTTCAAGGTCTTTGGAGTTTTAAATTCTATTAAAATTTAGTCATTTTATTACAGCTTGATGCATAAGAAATCACAAAACATTTTTGCTTTGATGTACAGGCTTTGTAGATTATGCAGGACAATATTAATCTATCGGTTGAATTGCAAACATGAAGTTTCCATGGATAAAGTAATATGACCTTTGGCTTATTCTCATAGGATTTCCAACTGCTTCTGCATAATGTTCGGATTAGATATTTGCTTATGTTGCCTGTCAAGCGTCATAATAAATCTGGGGACATATATAAGCTTTCTCTTTATTTTTTACTATGACATATGTGTATTTGGTTTTCTTTTGAATCTACATGGTAATGCTTATGGATTTATGCTGTTATTTTGTTGATACAAGTTCATCTATATGCAACATCATCTTTTTTACATTCTTTGTCTCAATCCTGTATATGGAATTGCTCCTCAGGCTGTGTAGTCAAATAACATTATGAGATGCATTGTATAATTGGGTTGGCAAACATATGAAAGATTATTGGCTCTGAAGCACCTCTGTCATCAGAATTCCTGAGCTTAGAGCATGTTATGTAATGTGGTCAGTTGAACATGTTGCTTTTAATGACTTGCCAAGGTCAAATTGACTTTCATCTATGTCATAGACTCATAATCTGTTCTAATTAGGTTGTGATTTAATATTGGTTAATATCTTATTGGTTGTTTCTACTTTCTACAGAAATTCTTTCTTGAAAATCAAGCCTGATAAATAATATTTTACAGATATCTTATGTTTGGAGAGATATCTGCAAAAGCGGCTCATATGCTTGGACAACCCGAGGTGCCATATTTCTTCAGAAAATATTTATTTTTTCATGCTATGTTCAAATAAAAGGTGTTTTTAGCCTTCTCAAAAGAATATGCCTGTTATATTTTTGTATCACCTTATTTCTATGTACTCTATGTTACAATACTCAACAATGTGCCAGGTTGAAAAATTCTTCTCAACGCTTATTCAGAGAGTTTCTCCAAAGAGTTATACTCAAGCTCTTGGTGAGGTCCAAGTTACACAAAAATTCCTGGAAAATTTTTCTGGAGACCAGGTACTGACCTGCTGCTTCTACACTGCTTGAAATTATCATACTTGATCTTCTTAAATGTGGTCAAGAAATTTGGTGCCATTAAGACTGTGCTGAGAAGAGTTCTTAATGTACCATTTATGCACTTTTCATTTTGGCTGTCCTATTAGGTATTACGTGTCCAACTTAGGACTACAAATATTGCATAATCAAGTGGCAGGCTAGCAAATTCTTTCTGAGTATTTGTATTTGCATTGCAGCAATATTGCATACCAATGTTTCTTTATTAAATTTCTAGGCAGTGAAAAATTGAATAAGCCTATAACCATTTTTTCAGTGCAATAGTTCGTGTCATCTACAAATAATGTCAAATATGTATATGATGGCACCTTACCTAGTAGCGTTTACATGCTGCTTTTTGCATATTAAAGGAAATATAGGGAATAATTGGAGGAAAAATGTTGGTCATGAGTATTTATTATTAATTTTTTTTTGCAACCAAATTTCAGGCATAAGAGCGGTCTTGTTTTAAAATGTTCAAATTAGTATCAAATAAAATTAGGGTATTTGACATGTCGAACAAGTGTAGCAGTACTTGTACCTTCTTATCCCCCTTTTCAAATGGGGGCTTAAAATTCTTGAAAGGGCCAAATAATCCATATAAGCATTTAGCATTAAGAAATACCAAATATTCATGTATGTTTAAGAAGATACAGTAACTGGTTTCTGAAGTCGATAGTAACTTAATGTCGATATCATTCTGATTTGACATGGTAAGTCATAAACAGCTTGGAGTTGCATAGGCCTCTGATGCAAGCTTCCCTCCAATGGTCCTTCCTAGAAAGATAAAAAGGTTGAGCAAAAATAATGGGGCTTGTATGAGAACTCTTAAGTTCAGTTATTTATTCGTGGTTAAAGAGGTAATACATTTCATATGTAAGAAATGTGTATATGTTTATTGAACTTTGCTTAATCTTACATTTCATCTATCTTATAGTTTTCATCTCTGATCTGTAGGTTCGGTTCCTGGCACGGTCATTTGCAGTTCCTGGCAACCATCTTGGACAGCAGAGTAATGGCTATCGCTGGCCTCTTCCTGGCACGGTCATTTGCAGTTCCTGGCAACCATCTTGGACAGCAGAGTAATGGCTATCGCTGGCCTTATGGTCCTGTAAGTCTTTACTTTGTTAAGCAACCATCTTGGACAGCAGAGTAATGGCTATCGCTGGCCTTATGGTCCTGTAAGTCTTTACTTTGTTAAACGCATAAATCTAATCTGTTCATTAAATTGGCATAAAATGTTAAATATGCATGGGTTTTGTTTGCAATAAAGAATTAGCTTGGATGAGTCCTGATTGGGATAGATGACAAAAAGCTATTATGTGTTCAAAGATCGCAGTCTGTGAGAAATATGTCATGGTATACCTAGAAATTGTGGGGTCCATATTGTAAGATAAATTCTATTTATATGCATGCCCCACATGCATGCAGTAATTCAATAGCATCTTTCAGGACGCCTTTTTCTCCTTTTATTTTGAGGGTGGAGAAGTCTCAGAGGAAATTAGTTCTGTGATAAGGAATCACATGATGCCATGGCTCTATTGCCTTATGTAGTAGAATGTAGTATTGTGCTTTGCGAATTACACGGTTAACTTACTCAAGAGGAATGCCTTTGAGGTTTTATGTAGTTTCTGATTTGGAGCTGAAACTAAATTATTTTGGTCATGTTGGATTCCAACTCGGATAATTGGATTAGATAATTGTAATCTACTAAAAGTAAAAAGAGAATAGAAGAGGGTAAGATAGGTATATTAGGGAATATAGTAAGGTTTAAAATAACTATTTTGATGCTCCATTGAACAATAGAAATTGTTCAGCTCTATAAAAGAAGAATCAGAATAATGTAGCCAAACTCTCATCTAAATTTTCTTGACATTATACTTCACAATTTGGTTGTGAAAAATAATTCACCAACTAAGTCTATGAAATATGTGAAACCCATGTTCCAGAAGGTATCAGCTCCTTCAAGCATATGACGCTTAGTTCGCTAGTAGGTTATTGCCTTCTGGTCATCATTTTTGCCAATTTAGTTCGAGTTCATTAACATTGGAAAAGACACTATTTGGCACTTATTGCGAAATAATGACTAAAATCTATTCTGGTTGCGAGGTAAATTGGAAAACTTGCATAATAGTAATTATTAATAATGTAGTGTAACTTTGTTATACATCCTGGAAACTCTTATTTTACTCATGTCTGTGCTAGAGAAACTAAAACATTGATGTTTGTTTTTGTTCTCACAGGTTGCAATTATTACTCCCTTTAACTTTCCTCTGGAGATCCCACTATTGCAGCTGATGGGTGCACTTTACATGGGGAATAAGCCAGTTTTGAAAGTTGATAGCAAGGTAAATACGTATGCTTTTAATATAATGTTATGAGTTAGGACATGTAACAAACACATACAAAGGTAATTAAAATATGAATGATCATCATAAATAACAAAGGCGACTAGGCGTGGGGGTCAAGCACTGAAGCACAGCACTATGCTTTTTTTATGTCAGAACTTCATTTACTCTATTTTTGTGAGAATTAACTATTGAGCTTGTAAAGTTGAACTGCTGTTATCTGTACTATGTTCTTTTCGGGGTTGCAAGAAAAATCTCTTATTGATATGGTAGTAGTGTTGCTGGAGTTTCGCTTCCTCCTACTCTTTCACCAAAAAAAGAAGAAAGGATGAAGATAAAACAGTGTCGTGTAAAATGTGGTTTTGCTACTCACTGAAGTCTATTAGCATACAAGGAAGTTTTGTTAGTTCTATATACTTGTGGTTTGTAAGCATTTAAATGAAATGCATTACCACTGCTTTGCTGTTTTCTACTTTGGATTCATTTGACCATCTTATCAGTTCCTTGTTGAGATGGTTTGTTTGTTTCCTCACTTTTTGATTGTATATTATACGTTGTTACTATAGGTAAGCATTGTTATGGAGCAGATGCTTCGTTTGCTACACAAGTGTGGGCTGCCTAAGGAGGATGTGGATTTCATCAACTCTGATGGTATAACAATGAACAAGCTTTTAATGGAGGTCTGTTTACTTGATACATCCTACATGCATAATGCCTTTTGTATAACAATGAACAAGCTTTTAATGGAGGTCTGTTTACTTGATACATCCTACATGCATAATGCCTTTTCTTTTTAGAGGTCTACCTTTTTCTCATATTCCACATGAATAGATCGTATCCAATCCACCCACCTGCCTTATCTTCTGCTTTATTTGCTACTGATCATGTAAAAGCAAATGGACTCCACTGGCTTCAAATTATAACAAAGCACTTTGTGCAACTAAGACCTCCTATACTAGAAGAAACCAAGAACCCAGCATCATATAAATTCCTGTTATGGAGAGAAATGTCTTGCATATCATACTTGGTTATGTTATTTCAGCTTACTAAAACATTGTCTATCGTCAAGTAGGTTGATTAAAAAGAACACCCTGATTTTCTCCTTAGTGGTTGTTTACATTACAAAATGTGACTATCTGCACCCAATCATTGTATTACCTCCCTGTGTATTTGAGTGAATTTGATTAGTTATTCCAATTCTTGTGGCATTCTCGTCTACCTGGAATAACTAATTTTTTACATGGATTATTTCTTTCAGTATTATCTCCCATCCTGCCTTCTAATCAATTATGGCTCGATGTATTATCGAGGGAGTTTATATATGTCCCTGGGCTGTATTCACTATAACTCCATCACGTCCTTTAGCCATAGATTTTTGTAGGATAGGAAGTGGGAAGTGGGGAGTTTGGGAGAGGGGGAAAAATCCGTTTTCTCTATGTTGTCTTGTTGAAATTTCAATGTACACGAAGCCCTTCTTGTGCCATCGTTCTATATAATTTATTTTAGGTAAGCTTAATAGCAAAACAAGTGTTTGGGTGCTCTTTCATTTTAATCGACTAAATGTAGTATAGAGATAATATCAGTCATTTGGGGGTGAGGGGTCTAACTAGTTTTGATTTTGTTTTATTTAATAGGCAAAACCACAAATGACTCTCTTTACTGGAAGCTCACGAGTAGCAGAAAAGCTGGCTGCTGATTTGAAAGGGCGGGTTAAATTAGAAGATGCAGGTTTTGACTGGAAAATCCTGGGTCCAGATGTACAGGAGGTTCTATTCAAATATTTAAATTGGCATTTATGTTGTATTGAGCTTTTCCAATATTGAAGTTTGATTCCTGCATGGCAGTTTATATTGACCAATTTTAACTTATTTAGTCGTTTCCTTAACCTCATTTCGATGATAGGTTGAGTATGTAGCATGGGTGTGCGATCAGGATGCCTATGCTTGCAGTGGTCAAAAGTGTTCAGCACAGTCAATGTTATTTATGCATGAGGTATAATATCTATAACCTATTTTTATATGTTCCATCATAATCATAAAGCATGAAGTGTAGAATTATCTCACAACTTTGTTGAGTATCGACGTGCTTCTCTTGGCATACAATTTCTGTATGCCAAGAGATATGCTTCTCTTTGATACCTTGTTGCAATGTTTTCTACATTGTATTATGAAGGATAAAACGATCATTTCCCCTTGAAGTATTGGTGAACTCCCAAGTTGCCTCTTAAAGTATCAATTTACCTACTTTCCCTTAAACTATGTTTATAGTTTCAATGTGGTTATTTTCTGAGTCCACAGTCAAATATTTAACAGATTAATGATGTACTCGTGTTTTTTTTGTATATTTCATGAGTTTTTGTCAGTTTATCTCCTTTTTCCCAAAGTAAAAAACACTTCTTAACCACTTTCTCTCTCTCTCTCTCTCACGAAACTTTTCACTTGTTAACCATTTTTATGAATTTAAAAAAAATATTTTTTAGATTGCAAAAGATACAATGATTGCAAGAAAACACTAACATGTCATCAATCTGTTAGATATTTTACTGTAGGCTCATAAAATAAACACATTGAACACGTACACATGGTTTAAGGGGGGGCAAAGTGATACTTTTGGGGCAACTAGTGAGTTCACCAATACTTTAAGGGGAATGATTATTTTGTCCTATAATGAATTGCAAATGCATGTAGCCTTCCTCTTTATATGCACATTATAAACAGCCAATTTTCTTGCAGAATTGGGACTCAACTATACTCATCTCCATGATGAAAGGTCTAGCAGAGAGAAGGAAACTTCAAGATTTAACCATAGGCCCTGTTCTTACTGTAAGTTGTCTGTATTTCGCTTCAAGTATAGTAGCTTTATTATTTAACATAAAATAGGTGATGCGCTTAAATTTTTATTTTTTCTTTTTTAGGGTAGACATCGAATTGAACCCTGTCCCTAGTCCTCTATATTTTTTTGAGCAAAAGGGTTCTCAGGACATATTTAAAATTTTCAAGTTTCATGATCAAAATATTGATTTAATATGCCCATCCTTTTCCTAAAAAAAAAAGATTGATTTAACACATGTATATTGCAATCTGCAAGAAAGGAATGGAAAAAGAAATTAAATGTGTGCTTCCTTAGAAACATTTTTACAGCAGCTGGAAAGGACAATTATCATTCTTAAGAAGATCAAAACCTTCAGCGACATAACAAAACAAAAAGATGGGACACCTATTCTTTTTTATGTATAAACTCCTCATGAATTTCTAGTCATAGAAACGATTTATAATATCTAGTTACTTCTAACATGCCAATTTATTTGATACATCATTTAGGATAATCGTAGGGGATAAAGAGTACATTTC